AAAAAAAAAAAAAAAAAAGGCTTTCCTCTTCTCTTTCTGACCCTAAAAATAAGGCCCCAGAGCAGAGGTTTTAGCAATGGTTTTTGGCTATTTTTAGAGTGTCTGGAAGATTTAATTCTTCAACATAAATTCCTAGGGTAAATATGTAGAGGGTTGGGGAGGTGAGCAAGCTTGCACCTGAAAAGCAGTAACACTGCCTGGGTGTCAGACCAGGTTGAGAGCCCCAGAAGCTGCCTTGACTAATTGGATGGTCTCAGGACACCTCTCAAAGTCACAAGAACGAATTTATGGAAAAGTATCAGTAATGGGCATAAATACATCACATAGGTTTTCAGGTTTTTAAATCACATATTCCCTGTGGATTTGACTTCCACTCCCAACACATGGAATATGGATTTTACCAATAAGATGGGGCGGCAGGCTTATTCACATAGGAACTTTCCTCTGATCATCTGCTGACAACTACAAAACCCACTTCACTGATGCATAAACCAAGGGCTGATGGATTTGCCTGGTGCCACTAGCATTTTTAGGTAAGCACCACGAACAAAGGCCCGTTTTCTCAAGGCTCCCTGCTTAATTCCTTAAGAATTTAAGCTCTGCTCCTGAGCACTCTTCCTCTTCAGGCCTGAAGATCATTTGGGAAGAGGCAATTTTGGACTCCCTGCCCCGAAAGCCAAGGTGCTAGGAGCAGCTGAGTGGCAGACATAGAGGTTGGATTTGCACAGTGAGCTCTCTGTGGCAGCAAGGCCTGAAGAGAAGGTGCTTTTAATGGCTGCCTGTGTCTCCTTCACTGGGACAGAGAGCTGAAATCTCATTAAAAATATCTCCTATGTTCCCAGTCTTCAGCTTTCCCATCCAGTACCATTCAGAGGCTCTGGGCTCTGCTCAGATCCCCAAGCAGGAGATGCTGTGTTCTCCAGCGTCTGCTCAGCGGGCCAGCCGTGCTGCTGGAGCACTGTGTCTACAAGGCTGACATTAATCAGCCACACAAAGACCATGGCTTCCCTCCGGGCAGATCCTGTTAATTTAAGCTCAGGTGACAGGGTTTTTCTGCTTTACCACAGCAGAAAACCATCCCCTCCCCCCAAGTTGCTGACCTAAACTCCCCCCCACCTCCCTATACATTTTGCTTTTGACAGTATCTTGGGCATTCACACCAGGAGGAACTGGGAGATTTATTGTTTACCTTTCCTTTCTGTTACCAATCAGACTGATATGGAAGCAAAACCAGAAAAGGTGGAGGGAGTGGGGGATCCCAAATCAACGATCCTGCTAAATGGCATCACTTAGGATTTGGTAGCTCTCAAGAAAAGAGCAGGAATATATTTTTGGAACATATTAGCTTTAATTGAGACACAACTGTGAGGGCTTTCAATGATTTCTAGAAATAAAGTCAGACATGTAAATGCCAATTTTGGAGGTGGTACTTCTGGTGTAGCGCTTTCTGGGCTCTGCTTCCAGGCACTGGGGTGCTGTCTTTGTTAAATGAATGCAGGTCATGCCACTAAAGCAGAAACTTTCTATCCAAGGGCGTTTGATAAATGCCATCCTTCAAATCACCATCCCTTTGCTACATACCCAGCAGAAAAGGTGAACCCGAGCAGAAGCCTCGCTCGCTAATTGGTCCAATGCTCTTACTGCATGTCAGGATGTGTTACATTAAGGCGTAACATTAATCCATCATTTTGCGTCTGTGTTTTTAAGTATGTAATTCTGTTCTCCAATTTGAGCCTAATTTAATGAGGACAGAGATACTTAGCTT